AATGAAATGCCATCTAATGAATCTTGATGCATTTGCTTGAATATTTGCAGAGAGAAGGCTCCTGTATAGTATGCATTAGCCCTTTTGCTTCTCTCAGTGGTGAAATCAAGTTTAAATGCCAAATTGCCAGCTCCATCCAGGACCACCACTATCTTTTACAGATAAAATGATACACTTTGGGTCATGAGCTGGATCATGAAGTTTTCTCTTGATTGTTGAGGATTAAACATGTTCACCTTCATCCTGAAGGACATTCCTGACTTGCTGTGCAGTCATCAAGTGGTTTTTCTGCACCATGCTAATAATTCCTGACTTGCTGTGCAGTCATAAAGTGGTTTTTCTGCACCATGCTAATGATTTTCTATTCATCCACGAGGCTTATGATCCTTGGTCTACTGTGCTGGGCGAACGGCTCCCAGCTGCCCACAAAACAATTACTAGCCAGGTCCATTTACTTTTGAACCCCTAAACTTTTGGCAGTACTGTATGTGTCAATAATAAAACTGGCACTTGGCACTTTAGCATTGTAACGATAGTTTTGTTTCAAATTGTATGTACTGAAGCAAAAATATGTATTTGTCCCCTTACTGTATGGTCTGGACTGTATCATCCCCCCTGGATAAGTGAATAACATTACTACAGTTGTGTGGACACAAGTTGTAATCTTCAGACTTGTTGAATTTTTTTGGGATCTCATACAGCATAGGAAACAAAATAAACTAGGTTTTAAATACTTTTGCAGCAAAACACAGACCTGTGTATTCTCACAGTCTGTCGTCCCCACGTACCATATCCAAGCTGAGAGATGACAAAGCTTTGGTCCTCCACATTCCGAATGCTCACTAGGTCCCCGTGTTCTTTGGCGCACTCTCTCCGGGCATCAGCCCATGTTTTAGGAGTACGCTGAAGGTAGAAGCAGTGGCTGTTGTAGGGAATCCAAGGGTTTGAGCAAAATCCTTCCTCAACTGATGACACAAAGAATAAAAACATGGGGGATTGAATGACTGATAACATACAGTGAGTGTGTCAGAGAAAGAAACATTACAGTAACCAGATGAAGGTATATTTGAATAGAGTACAATATTTTATATACTTTGTGGAGGAGATGGTGGGGCCCCGCCTTTGTAGCAGATATAGCCCAGTTTCTTGTTGCAGGATGAACTTTCCCAGGAGTACTGCGCAGCAGAATCAAGGTATGCACAGTTGTGTCCTGGGTTAGGAAGTGGATTTCCTAAAACAAGATGATTTAGCTTGATTCATAGGTTCCTGGCATCTTTTCTTTTCATGTTATAATAATGTAAAATCACAAAAACATTTGTTAAGGTTTTAAAATATATGTTATACTATTAAAATATCTTTTTAATTAGGTACATACATAAACAGCCTTGTTTAGCTGTGTTTTATATCACATATTTTTGGTCTCCACCGGTTCCTGTGGGAAATTTCTGTCTCTTTAGCTGCTTAATGCTACGTTATGTTCACCAAGTAGTGACTAAGCTTGTCTGTCTGCTGTTTGATGCTGAGCAGGTAGTAAGAAGTGGCTATATCAAAATAAAAATAACAAAAAACTCTGCATGTTCCTGGAAATGATGCTGATGAGAATTGTGAGAGTGAATCAAACCAGTGAATATTTGGGCTGCAAAACCAGCACAGTGAGCTGAAAGATGATATATTAATTAAGGGTCCACTACAATACAAGGAGTTAAGCAATCCATCGTTAATATAAAAGTGTTGATTATTAGTAGCCTTAAAGTTAAAAATGCTTTCTCCTTCTCACTTTTTGTGTCAAAGACTTGTATTTCTTAGAAAACGTAAAATGGCCACCCTTGAAGAGAAGTTACAGGTTGAAGTGCATAACAATTATTTCTATTACTTTTCAGTAAACCTCAGTCACTGCCTAAGACAACTCCAGCAGAACCTGTTAAACATTTGTTCTGGGATTAAGACTTACCAGTATTCCATTTGAGATAACGGAAAGGTTTCCCATTTGACCACTGCCAGCCATGTTCTGGGTCCAGAACCACCCCAATCCAAAGCTTATGTCTCCCTGATCCCAGCAGGGCTGTGTTTATTTGTTTTTGTGGTTGAGAGAGACAAAAAAAAGGAAAAGTACAAAGTAAAGAAATTGTCCGAGGAGTACGCTGAAGGTAGAAGCAGTGGCTGTTGTAGGGAATCCAAGGGTTTGAGCAAAATCCTTCCTCAACTGATGACACAAAGAATAAAAACATGGGGGATTGAATGACTGATAACATACAGTGAGTGTGTCAGAGAAAGAAACATTACAGTAACCAGATGAAGGTATATTTGAATAGAGTACAATATTTTATATACTTTGTGGAGGAGATGGTGGGGCCCCGCCTTTGTAGCAGATATAGCCCAGTTTCTTGTTGCAGGATGAACTTTCCCAGGAGTACTGCGCAGCAGAATCAAGGTATGCACAGTTGTGTCCTGGGTTAGGAAGTGGATTTCCTAAAACAAGATGATTTAGCTTGATTCATAGGTTCCTGGCATCTTTTCTTTTCATGTTATAATAATGTAAAATCACAAAAACATTTGTTAAGGTTTTAAAATATATGTTATACTATTAAAATATCTTTTTAATTAGGTACATACATAAACAGCCTTGTTTAGCTGTGTTTTATATCACATATTTTTGGTCTCCACCGGTTCCTGTGGGAAATTTCTGTCTCTTTAGCTGCTTAATGCTACGTTATGTTCACCAAGTAGTGACTAAGCTTGTCTGTCTGCTGTTTGATGCTGAGCAGGTAGTAAGAAGTGGCTATATCAAAATAAAAATAACAAAAAACTCTGCATGTTCCTGGAAATGATGCTGATGAGAATTGTGAGAGTGAATCAAACCAGTGAATATTTGGGCTGCAAAACCAGCACAGTGAGCTGAAAGATGATATATTAATTAAGGGTCCACTACAATACAAGGAGTTAAGCAATCCATCGTTAATATAAAAGTGTTGATTATTAGTAGCCTTAAAGTTAAAAATGCTTTCTCCTTCTCACTTTTTGTGTCAAAGACTTGTATTTCTTAGAAAACGTAAAATGGCCACCCTTGAAGAGAAGTTACAGGTTGAAGTGCATAACAATTATTTCTATTACTTTTCAGTAAACCTCAGTCACTGCCTAAGACAACTCCAGCAGAACCTGTTAAACATTTGTTCTGGGATTAAGACTTACCAGTATTCCATTTGAGATAACGGAAAGGTTTCCCATTTGACCACTGCCAGCCATGTTCTGGGTCCAGAACCACCCCAATCCAAAGCTTATGTCTCCCTGATCCCAGCAGGGCTGTGTTTATTTGTTTTTGTGGTTGAGAGAGACAAAAAAAAGGAAAAGTACAAAGTAAAGAAATTGTCCCACTCCCCCACTTCGTTCCTCGTTTTCATTGCTTAATAACAAATCTGCAAAATCACGGTCAAGCA